CTTTTAAGTAAACAAACCTGCAAAGCAAGTATGAAATTTAATCAAATGAACTCCACCATTGAAAATCAATCAAATGAAGCATAGAACTTGCTCTCGCAAATTTGATCTTTTGTCTTATTTATGGCATTTGTAGACGAAAATAGCGATTTAGCGACCTCAAAAATCTTGATTGTGACTATAAGTTTAAGTATTTTTGAAATAGGTTTAAAATTAAATTATAAAAAAGTGCATGCAAGAGCCAAGATGGAGGTAAATATTATTGTTGTGCTGCACTTTTGTCCCTAGAAAAACTGATAAAATTTCATTATGGCTCCCGTAATGGAGGGGATGTGATTGGAACAAAAAAAAAAAAAAAATAGGCACAGAAAAGAGGGAGATACATTTAGCATCATAAGGGCAAGGAGGTTATTTTTGTTGTGGATGCTAAAAAGTGTTGTGGCAAAATCACTTGCCTTAAATAATACTCTCATGTCGTAAAAAACCTTTTTGAAGATTCATTTTTAATTTGTTGAAATATGTTAATGTAAATTGATTGAAATATGTTTCAAATGTAAATCTAAAATGTTTCAGATGTAGTATAATTATTTAGGCAACATTTTGGTGGCGTAGTGACGCGGTATTGTGGCTCATTCAGTTATCTCCGCACTAAGCCAGTAAGCTTTGTACTAGTTGTTTTGATCATCTTCGGAAACAACAGTAATTAATAAATCCAATCTATCAAGATTATTTGTTTATTCAAATGGTGCTTTGTTTGTGTTAAAAGTTCAAACAAACCCAAATTATGCAAAGGAAAATGTGAAATTAAGTTGATACATAAGATAAGTACGTAGGAAATGAAAATACATCAAGCTAGTATGGACATCAGACCAGAGAACTGATCATATATCAATGTAATCCAATTACATGCAGATTATTGTGGCCTTTTTTATCCAGGGTTTTCAATTTGCAGTTTGACTTTCTAAATACCATATCCGGCGAAAGAAACGATTTGGCATTTGCTTCAAATGGGAGAAATAATATCCCAATTCCCAAACTCCTCGCTCAAGTCTAATTAAGATTTTAAGCTGTTTTTTTTTTTTTTTTTTTGAAAAAAAGATTTTAAGCTGTTGAATCACATTAGTTTTGGGGCATAAAAAGAAGTTGAAGGATAATATGGAAGTTAGTGCGAAGAAAATGTGAACAAATTTATTTATTTATTATTTGTGTTTTTTTTTTAAAAAAAAAAAAACTAGTAGGGGGTTTAAATGCCTAAAATCAGTTAACTACTCTCCTTTAAATTTTGTTTGTTTTGTTATTTATTTAGAGCTTAAAAACTAGTTTCTTTCATGTATCCTACAAAATATCCAACTGACTGAAACTTGCAGACTAAACAGCGCATTCGATGTCATGATTCTCAGCTACGGGCGCAAGCTTTTTTTTTTGTTTTTTTTGGTGGGGGTTTCTTTATACTGTACACAAAATTTCACATTTCATTAACAGACTCCCATCAGTTAATAACTTAATAGTATTTTTTTTTTAACTTTATTTTACAAAAGCTGGAGGCATGAATCGGATGAGACGATAGCAACAAATAAGCCGATATAGATGGAGAAGGCAGAGCCCAACGTTAGAAATCGAAAGCCCAATAACAATAGCTCTTTTGAGTTTTGCGTCATATGACTCTTGGAGTTGAAATCAGTGGATGTTTTGGATCTTTTGACTAGTCATCTCACTTGACACTTATCAAGATGTCAAAAATTCAAAGAAAAGTTATGAACACAATTTTATAAAAATTGTTTGGAGAGAATAGATATATTAAATTATTGGCAAAAGAGAATTGATTAGTTAGTTTGTTTTACTTCGTATATAGAACCAAGAATTATGGTTCTCTAAAATCTAAATTTATCATTTTCGCAACTTGGTGATGTATATAGTACAATAGTATATTACTACCTTCGTCCCAAAATTATTATTCAGTTTGAGATTTCACTTTTAGTACTATTTAAACTAGAAATAAAAACCCAAACTGAACAATAATTATGGGACGGAGGGAGTACTATTAATTCAAAAAAATATGAATTGTCTTCTTGGTTCAAATTTGTGACCGGGTTTGACTATAAGTGGTTGGTTCTTGAATTGTACATATCCAAATCAATTCTGCACGGCTGCGTCAAAGCTGGAGCCGGCTGGCTAATCGAAGGACGTACGTTATACCAAAGCATCCCGGAGCCAAAAATGGGCCGTAACTAATTAAGCTTGTAAGATGGTAAAGAATAAAATTTATTTCAATATTTTGAGTACTACTACAAAACAATTCAAATGAAAGAATGCACACCAATTTTCAACTAATACAAAATATGAAACTAATCAAACTTGATCAATAATAAACACAACCTATACTACAACGTCCCACCACATTGCATGGATTTGACTAATTTTTGGGCTCGAGAGAACGAATGTTCATATTTGTTATCCAAAGAATTTGAAGAACCAAAAGAATTATCTTAGGAGTAACGTATATAGCTTGCCAATTTTAATTAAATTAATGGTGAGTGCTGGTGACAACACTATGTCCGTCCCCCGGACTCGGACCAGAATCTTTAATTCCTCCGAGTGTTTCAACGGTGGTGTACTTGTGCCCGACGCCGGGGCTCGGACCGTCCTTCACCTGACCAATCAATTTCCAGTCTATGCTGCTAGGAACCTTTCCTCCCACTGTCGAGCTATTAACTGCGAGTGTGACACTAGTTAGAGGACGAGATTCCGCAGTCAAAAAAACCGAGTTCACGATCAAAACAATGCAAACCAAATTGAATAACAATGTCGAAATTGATTTAGCCATTATGAGCAAATCAATATAGAAACAGAGAAAAATTTTTGTTAAAGAAATTGTACACTAAAAAAAAAATGTATGGACGTTATATATATATGTAGTTGGAATTGGAAAGTCGATCAATTTAGAATTTTGTTGAAATGTTGGTGATAAATGTGTCATGTAGGAGTGCCAATTTATAGTGGTGCTGAGGTTTGCATGGGGAACAAGTCGGCTATTCTTGAATCACAATGAAAGTAATGGAATTCAGGGGAGTGAATCCAAGCCGAGGAACCAACGAGGGAGTTTCTTGATCCCGGAAGTTAAGGTAATGAACTGAGAATTTAAGAGATTGCGAGTCTAATTTGTGTAGCATTATTCTCATGTTGTACTAGCTGCCCTGACTGCCTCATCAAAATTGTTGGAATTTCCATTCTTTTACTAGACCGTAACTGTGGACTCTGAATTCCACGTTCCAACGTTTGAATTGCCATATCAATTATCAATATCATCATCATCATATACAGAGGATAGAGCATCCCTCTGTTTCAGAAAAAAGAGCGCATTATTATTCTGTTTTAATTCAATAGAATAAATCCTTTTTTTTTCTTTTTCCCTTTTTAGCCAGAAGAAGTACTTCCTAATTCCTATGGTCTTATTTATATAGCACAAAAAAAAATAAAAAATTAAAGTCAATTCGCGCCATATTTTAAATAGGACCAGACAGAGTTGTTGATGGTTGTTGGTTTCTAACTTCTAACTAACCATTGAAATATGCTTATACTGTATTTCATCATCAATTCAGGAGTTAAACGTGATCAAGCAGAAATTTTCAAAGACAAACTTTTTCCATAAATTCCAGGACTATTCAACACCTGAAAATATAAGAGAAGTAAGAGTACACCATTTGAATTGTAGCTGCATCGACAAATTTGTTTATTCACGACTCACTTGATAACGCAAATTCACAATTTTCTTTGTCCTCCTCATCCTCATGCAGCATGAAGAAGCGTTTCAATTTGTGAACATATCGAATTATCTCTTTGGCAATATTGTTACAAGAAGAGAGACAAATTAAGTTTGGATCAGATATCTACATTTATACGAAAACAACCCAATAAGATCCCGTTACAATCACAGTCCCTCGAGGGATCATTAGAGGCAAAAGGGTCGAACAATCGGTGGGAAAATTCATTTATTTATTTATTTTTTTCTAAATTTGTAGGCTCTCTGTCCCAGTTGACAATCATTTTGGAAAAATACTACATTTTCTTACAATCCCATATATAAACTTCCACCATTTGGATGAGATAATTCCAGAACTGCTTTATATTTTATGATCTTTTTATATATACTCACTACTAATGGTATTTAATTAAGAAAAAGGGTCAAAACCAAAGTTTGATTAGAGGATTCACTAAGTTTAATTTTTGTTAAGTCAGCAACTCTAGGTTGCAAAAATATGGTTCTTAATGCTGCCATTTGGTTTTAGCAGCTTAGATTTTAGCTTGAAGCAGGCAGAAAAGGTAACATTTTGGCACAAGAAAAAGGCGAGAAGGTGAGTACTAGGGCGCGCTAGGGCGGTGAACAATGGTGATGTATTTTATTGTTTGTTACCCCCGGCAATGTTCATGAACAAAGCCTAAAGTTCAAAATTAAGAGTCACTCTCACTCATTCAGTGCGATGGCTTTCCTTTTGTTTATGCTCGGTTTTCCACATTTATGTATTGATTATGCCACAATCCATCCAGATTAAGTTCATATTCCAATCCAATGTATAACAAAGCTAGCTTCTGTGGTCCCATTCATGGCTTTTGCCGTCCTAAGCACACACTATAGAGTAATCATAAGAAATATTCCTCGGTCATATTCCGAGTAGTACAAAAATCAAGACGAACTCCTGAGATCACAAATTTATAGGCGATCAAAACCAACATCTATTTGTCACCTTTCTAAAGTTGTCAATACTGATTAGGCTTAACAAAACAAATGTATGACATTAAGTTCAAGAAACATATTATTAACGACGTAAAAAATATTGTCAAGTTAATTTCTAGATGTCCATTTCCTACGTGTACATACACTTCCGGTTTTCTCGAGCTCTGACACTTGGACTCATGTGTATCAGTTCGTTAAGTTCATCATTAACGATAAGCAAGAAAATTTTAGTCAAATGGACTGTTAATGAACAGATCAATAAGTAATCTGGTCTGGATTTATAATTGCAGGAGCCCTTTAATTCCATCAATTAGTTACGAACGCTCTTCGAAACAGAGCATAAGAATTCAGAGCAAGAACTAATAAACAGTACAGATCCCATTATGGAAAAAAAAATTATTGTTGTATTTACAATGAATTGAAGCCATAAAATAATCTAACTTGAGTTCTAAGATTCGAGAAATGACAAAATTAAATAATCACCTTTGTTGGTAATGTGCAGAATTACACCTTGATAGGATGCGAGTTCATCATTTCAGTTCCCTTCAGGGCCTTTACTTCCTTAGTATTATTATTACCGGTATAATCATCTTGATAATTGATCTCGTCGTCCCAATTGCTGCAAATTGATTGGTTACAATCAAACCAAGATTCCTCCTCTTCCTGTTCTTCATCATAAGTCGGAGGAGGAGAACTGATCGGAAACTGAATGTTTTCTAAAGAACCGAGCGATTCAATCACATCTTCAGTACTCCAACCTGCCTGTAATAAGGTTTTGGACAACGTTTTCACTTGCTGATCAATACTTTCCCTGTCGAATATTACCGGTAATGAAGAAGAGCTGCCGGAATTCTGATCGTCCATCATCATCATCTCCCTGACGTCCTTTTCTTTCCACCCTCCATTCCTTAATCTCCAAAACACATCTTCTAAGCATTCACCAAAGCACTCATCACTCCACCAATACTCGACGGAGCCGCCGCCGTTCTCCGCTAGTCTTTCTCCTCTCTCGGCGAAATCCGTCCAGAATTCGATCCTTCTTGGCTCCGTCGCCGCCCAAGACGGCACACTCATTAATTTAGACAAACTGGGCCTTTTCAAAACATCCTCACCTGAATTCAGTTCCACCTGATGAAAGAATCCGGCAATGTCGAAACTCCACAACCTAACATCCCCTCCATTGACGTAAAACAGAGGATTTCCGGCCAAGAGGGGCGTCGCAGGAATGTAGAAATTCCGGTACACCGGAATAAGAACCGGGACTTTCTTCAAGAACCCTTTTCCCAGTTTCATTGCTTCCTCACTATCCATCGGCCTAATACCCCAAGAATCAAGCCAAAACCGATTTCTAATTAGTTCCTTGCAGAGACCCAAAACCGGAGTAGTGACTAGATTCTGAAGTTCCGGGATGGACGTTGACCGCCAGTTGGGAAATCCAGGGCCCACCGGGAGCCCTTCCTGGAGAACCGATCGGAAATCCGGCGGGAATTTGCAGTTGAGATGGGATTCAATGGAGGTAACTTCATCATCAGTGAGGCCTTTCTCAATGGGAACATTGCAGGATTTGAGATATTGGATGAGGTCTTTTGTGTAGGCTGCATATGAAAAACATACTCGCCGTTTTGGATTGGAGTTAATAGCCATTGTGATGAAATTGGTTCATCATGATTTTAGCTCCCATTGCATATTTTAACAAAAATAATCAAAAACTGTAACTAACCTAAGCCTGTTATGTTGTGTTTATCTGTGTAACTAACTTAGGTAGGAGATTAAAAAAAAAAGAGAGAGATAGATGAGGTTTCAGAAATTCAAAAGCGTGTTCATCTGGATTCGAGTTGTACAACATAGTATATAAGGTGGATTACTCTTTAGTCTGAACTCTGGAATATCTATCTGTTAATAATTTATCTAAATTTTTAAACCACGGGGATCAGCAACTAATTTCCAAATGTCAATCTTACTCGCAATATTAAAATGGGGGATCTGTTCCTGATTTCCGGACTTTTATTTCTTTTGTAAATGAAGCGTTTGAATTTTCCAAATGGGTAAGAAAATCCCCGGATCTTGAGCCCTGTTCGTCGTTCTCATTTGGAACAATCACATCTGGACATAGTTCCAATCCAATCTTGCTATAAATGTGGACTGGATTAGCAGTAAATTTCTAAATTTAAATGGTTACTTGTCATCAATTTGTTATCCTATCAAAGAAAGCACTACCTTTTGGTATGGTGACTTTAAGACACTACACCATTGAAAACACTGGCATCATGGTGGAATTATAAGTCGCTAGTCAACCCAAAATTTGTGGAACATGCTCTCACATGCTTTTTAGTTTTCGCAGTTCACGCAAATGGTATTCTGAAAAGGACATCAATTTATGGCACATTACAAGTCCAATGTCCGAAACTATTAGCCTAATAGTCTAAATTCGAGATCATAGGTCGCTTGAAAGATGCAGAATTCTCAATTACTCATGCCAAAAATCAAACCCTGGGCATATTTAGATGCACTATATTTTTATACTTGGGAGTAAAGTTTATTGGTATAGGACCAAAAACAAAGGTTTTAAGTTTAAGATATCACGCAGGTCAACCTATCAAATGGTACAGAGGTTTTCGATTACCATTCAAAATATTCAAAATGGTATTTGCTATGTGATCCACTAGAGTTTTCGAGCCATTTCTGCTGCTGAACTGAATGCCTCCAAGATTTGCAGGAAATACTTATAAGTTTTGACAGCCAGACAATGATACGTAAAATGTTTGACAAATTGCTTTGCCAGATTGTCCAAGAACAAAAGACATCGATGATCAAGCTGCATTATTTGCAATACCTATTGCTGTTCGATTTTCACAAAACCATGGCAAGTCAGAGATGCATGATTTGTGTTGGAGCTTATCATCCCAGTTCCACCAGTTTGCTGAGATGCAATGAAAGACATATTTGAGCCCCCTGTGGACTTCTCAAGGGAAACTTTGCTATTATAGACTGTAGGAGCACCTTGATTGTTCCGAGTACTGTGCATAGTTGAACCAAGGACAGAACTCCCATTCATTTCCCTACAAACGGCGGTTTGAGGGTCAACCTTTCCATCCACTTTTGGCAAGATAGGAATCATGTTGTCCAACTTCTTCAGAATCACTTTCTCAAACTGCAATTGTCTAGGCTCTGATTTAACTTTAAATAGTCCAGCCTTCTGATGTCCGACTGGATGCATTGATGAAAGCAATGGAACATTTGGACTTACCAGTCTCTCATGGATCTCAAGCTTTGAATTCTTCTCAGCCAAACTAGCTGCAGTTCCATTGTTGCTTGCCTCTTTTAAAATTGTTTTCAGGGCCTCAAGATCGGTCTCCAGGCTTTTGACACGGCACTTATATTCATCCAGTTCACCATGCAATTTCCGAACAGTATTCCAGAGCTGAGAATTATGTAACAACTGCAGTCCCAAGCACAGCAGGAATGAAGTTATAAACAAAGAGATCAACTCGAACTAAATATTTATGAAACACACCTATATGAAGAAAAAAAAGTGTGGATAAACTTATATTTTACTTGATCTTCCCATAATTTTTTATGCTCTAGAGAGAGTTCTGAAAGTGGTCGTTTGATACTCCTCTGGGTTTGGGGTGATGGATCAGGAGGTACTTGGCTATGAGGCATTGATGTCTGAGAACAAGTGAACTGATTAAAGGGTCCTTGATATTCACTGCCATGCATAGGTGGCTTCGACTGATTAGACTGACTCATCCAAGATGACGGATCCCAGGGGCCTATCGACAATCAAATATTTGGAGACTGATTAGACTGACTCGTGACTAGCCAAAGATGCACAACAGATGAATAAGTTGATTGCAAAACTCACAGTACTGACAAGAAAACCAATAGTATCAACTCACAAGTGCAAATTGCTAACTAACAGTATTTGAACCTTTACTAGCAGAAATGCACAACTGATGGACAAGTGCAACCTAAGTAACAGACAGCAGGGTAAAATTTGGAGAATTGACAACATATGGTATTTGTAAAAACTCAACAATGTAAAAAACTATCTAACAATCCAATAAGTTAATAGTTTAAACTCAAAACAATAGAATGGCCTTGCTGGGAAGCTTATGAAAAAAGTATTTTCAAACATGAATATATGAGTTTCTTTGCCACAACAACCACAAAAGCATAAAAAAAAAATTAGTTGTGATTCAATACCTGGAAAACCAGGATATGGGAAACCGGAAGGGTAAAAGTGTGGACGCTGTTGTTGGATTTGGATCCATGAATTCCCTTGGGAAGCTTCAGCCGTGGAAGCTTCAGGTTTTCCTCCAGGTGGGAAGGGCTGATAACAGGGAAAAGGATAGGGTACAGGTAAATACTGACCTGGATGCCCCGGCATCCAGAAGGGGACAGTGTTGGGTGGAATTGGTGGAGCTGGTTGTCCCCGCTTCGACTCATTCATGTTGCCTCCGTGCATTGGATTTTGTGATTGCTGCCACTGAGCAGCTGGGCCAGCTGAGCTAGAGGGATTTTGGATTAAATTGGGCATATACTTGGCAAATTGAGGCGAGTACGACAGTTTAGCATCTTTCAGGGCTTCCTCATTTGGGGAAGCACTATTCTTATTCGAAGAACCAATAATCATCACATCATTTGGAGCACCAATTTGGTTTTCATCATCACTTATATCACTTTTCTGTCAAAGATTGAATTAGACAAGACAGTCCATAATCAGCTTCTCAGAAATTCACAAGCAAAGAGTATGAAAACAACAGGCTGATTCCAACATCTGAATGTCAAATGCAGAGCAAATAACTAGGCGATTACCATCAGAATGAAAAATTGATCTACTGCTTAATGCTTATTCAATCAAGCAAAATCACCGACAACGATATTTAGGATCGCAGAAACAAAAAGGAGAACTAGCTTCTACGTGAAAACAATAATCAAAGGTTGTTTTCTGTTTTCCTCTACGTATGCAACATCAAGTAATAAGAAGGGTGAAAACCAACAGCAAAATGCAACCTAAAATCAGGGGTTAATTCAGCAGGAAAATAGTTGAATGCATCTATAAATTCCACTCACAAAAAAAAAAAAAAAGAAAAAGAAAAACCCTCAAAAAAATTCAATGATTTTGATGTCGCTAACAACAGAACCGAGATTAGAAAAATGCAAAAACATTACCGCTTCAGGACTGCAAGTTTTAGGCTTCTTGTTCGTGGGTTCCATGTCTCTGCCGCTGATTTGTGTTTTGGCGCCTCGTTCTTCGATTTGAAAGAAATATGAATTGACACCGAATATGTCTGTCTTTGTAGAAGAGAAGAGAAGAGAAGACGGGGATAATTTTTCCACCGTAACCCCCCAATGGTTGGATTCTGGAGATTGTGGGACGCCAAATGATAAATTAGGCATCAACTCGGATTGGGAAAAGGAAGAACCGAAAAGGGGAAAAATCATAGAATGAAGAGAAGATGTAATAACTCCGCATAACTGCCCATTTCAATCGTGCTGTTACTCTTTACAAAAACCCAATCAGATTAACATAATCCCAATTATAATCTCCCTATCTTCTTTGGCTCTCTTTACAACACTTCATTTACTGTCCACGTGGACTGTAACTTTTTCACCGTCCTTGTTTATGACTAATGTAAAAAGTTATAAGCAATGATACAGATAGTGAAAAATTATAGTGAATTTGGATAGTAACAAATAAAAGAAAAATACACTACATATACTTACTTACTATGTCTAGTTATTAATTAAGGGTAAAAATATGATTTTTTAGGAAAAAGATAAAATTTCAATAGGAAAGTAACAAAAAATTATGGATCATGATTAATCCACATCAGTTATTATGTTTTGTTACTATATTTTTATTCACTATATTATATCATTTTCCAAAAGTTATAATGGAAATTGAAGAAATGAGACTTTTTGTTTTCCGAGATATACAAAATAAGACTTTGTTTGAAACATTTTTTCCAGGTCATTTGTCTGTCGTATTTGGAAATAATGACATAGTTTACGCTTTGAAATCGTTATCATAGACAGTTCAAAACTTCATCCGTTTCATATTAATAATTTATTTTGTAATATTATTTTAATTTAACAGAGTGAATTATTAAAGAGAGACGAAATAAATAGGTGTCTTTTGTTGTGATAATAATATGTTTTCGATATAGAAAAACTAGATGGGAAATTTCAAGATAAGTAGGGGAAAGACCACTTTTAATATGAGTATAGTAGAAACATCCATTTCAAAATTTTGAACAAACCTTCCCTCAAAACAATTTTCTCGTTTCCCTCCATCATCAGATTTTGCACAAAAAGGTTCCCTCCATTCAAAATATTTTGGTTCCCAAGAAAATTTTCCCTCCAAAGAGAGCATAACAGTTTCTGCTGATTCAGCATTTTCCAATTTGAATTTTCCACTGTAGTCCAACTTCAATACAAAAGTATTGGAATATAGTCATCGGTTAAATAAGCTGGGCTTAGGCCCGATAATCAATTTGTCAGCTTATTCAAGCCCGATTCTTTTCCAAATCAAGTTGTGAATTTATATGGGCTTCGGCTTGATTTTCAAACGCTTTCCTTTTTCAGGTGCTTCGGTAAAAAAATTTCCAAAAAATTTTGAACAAAAATAATTTTTTCCTATTTTAGGTGAACAAAACTAGTTGTCTCGGATTTGTCAAATCCGGATCTCCTTATAATACAGCTATCTGATGTATAATTTCTATTTGATAGATTCAGATTTGCCAAATTCGAATCTAGTATAAAACTAGTTGTCTCGGATTTGCCAAATCCAAATCTACCTATTTTGTACTAGATTCGAATTTGGCAAATCCGAATATATCCAATAGAAATCATACATCAGATAGTTGTATTATAAGGAGATTCGGATTTCTCAAATCCGAAACTACACAGATTCGAATTTGGCAAATCCGAGACAAATAGACACACCACTCTGTGACTATATTTTTGTCCATGTCCTTTCATTGAAAATTAGTTGGGTAAAAAACTCTTCCCTTTTATTTTAGTTTGCCTGGAAAATCATACGTTACACTTCGAGGTAAAATTTTGCTACATGGAATGATGGAATGGCTATTGGATTGGAACCGAATCTTTTTATGAGAAATCTGTTTTAAGGGAATATTGTCTACGCCTTTCGCGGCCCTAAAAAATAAATAAAAGAAATCATGCATATTGCATTAAAACGTAACCAAAAGCGACAACCTTTATTTAGTCCACTGGCAGAAGTTGCACAATGATTGAAATATGATTTCATCGGTATTTTATTCTTACACAACATTATAATTTCTTATACTTAAGTTTCGGGTTCTTTCACTATAAATTAAGAAAAAAAAAAAAAAACCAAAAAAACTATTTTTTTTCTTTTTGGGACGGAGGGACAAAAGAAGCTATGGAAGTACATAGTTGTTGTTACTTCACGTGATATTTAAATGTTTGCCCGATAACAAGATAAAGAAATAAAGAATAGCTTGTCTTGTGCTCCTGCCGTTGTGCGTATGTGACATTAACCAATAGTAATAGATATCGGATCGGCCAGTCATTAGTAAAAGACAAGCATACATAATCGAACTTTACACTCAAATCCATATTCTGGTTGCTGATTACAAAGTTTCTCCACTTCGTTCACTCCACTAAACTTTGTCTATAAACGATCATTCATCACTATAAAAATGAAACTAATTAACTTCAACCCAATTCACAAAAAACATTGAAAATTCCATCTTAATTAAGGATATCAAAATCAACAGCCCCCCAAAAAAATGGCAGATGTGAGGGAAGGAGGAATAGTGAAGAAGGGTCATGAAGAAGGGATCAAAATGGCAGTTTCATTGCTCGAGGAATTCGAACTTCCGGCAGGACTTCTTCCCCTTGCGGATGTGATTGAAGTCGGGTTCGTGAGGTCCACCGGATACATGTGGATTGTCCAGAAGAAAAAAGTAGAGCACAACTACAAGATGATCAGCAAGTTGGTGAGCTATGACACCGACATTACGGGATACATTCAGAAGAAGAGGATCAAGAAGCTCAAGGGTGTGAAGGCTAAGGAGCTCATGTTGTGGCCTCCGGTGAGCGAGATCATCGTCGATGACCCGCCCACCGGAAAGATTCATTTCAAGAGCCTTGCCGGCATCACGAAGACCTTCCCGGTTGAGGCATTTGCCGCTGGCCAGTAAATTAAAAACAATTTACTAGCTAGCTAGCTTATAATAATATATATACATAGCCAGCTGATCATGATGATGATATCCATGATCCAGATGTTATGAATGTTTATTTAGTTTGTGATTTTCCTATATTTCTGTTGTTGTATTTCCATGATCCTAATTAGCTGCTCCTTCAAGAGCTTAATTTGATTACAGTACTTTTGGAAGGAAAAAAAAAGTGTTTCAGAGTTAATTTTATTTGAATAACAACAAGGATGATATGGGCATGGATGTTTACAAAGAAGATAATTGACTTTCTTTTGTTTTTTTTTTGAAAATTGTACCTGCATATATTAGTTAAAGGAGTTTAAACGTTTACATTTAGCTAGATTATATGCTATATTATGCATCTCAGCTACAACATCCCGAGGAACTTTAGCTATAGAAAAAGAAAGGAAAGACTTGGAAATGGTACTAATCTCAGCAATTAATTCCTGAACTTCAACCGGTGATTGATTGGGAATCAGTTTGGTTGCCAATAACCCACAATCCATGAGCATAAGGATGTGCTGGATGTCCATGCTTGTAGCTTCTTGTATGGCATACAACAGAGTCTGGGCTTCTGATGTAGGGGAGTAAGTGCAGGGAATTTTCGAGATTTAATTTGCTGAATCATCCCATGATCTGTGGTGATTTTCCTTGCTCCCGCCGCTTGCATTGATGCTGGAACGAAAGATCCATCTATCATGATAGTATGTCCATGTGAGGCGATATCGAGGTCATCCATCTTTGCTATCTCCTCTGTTTGGATCAAATTTCCCCAATTTCGGTTCTATTCTTTCATACAAAGATTGAGATGCAGGTTGTAATCTTGTGTGATTTTATTCCACATCCTTGCATAATCACCCTGTCGATCTCCATGTTGTGATTGCCAAACTCGGTTATTTCGGTCCTTCCAAATTTCCCAAAGGACAAAGATTGATAACTCAATTGCCATCGCATCAGGAGCTGTTTTGATCCACTCCAGGAACCAATCTTTGAAGGGGATGGCTTGACCTGTGTCGAAATTAAAACCTAAGCTCGTGATTCTCCAAAGCCTCCTTGAGGATGGGCATTCCAGGAATAGGTGCGAAACATCTTCTGATTGCAACTGACATCTCGGACATAAATCCTCTTCTATGACTCCTCTTTTAAGCAAGCCTTGTTTTGTTGGAAGTGCATTATGAATCCCTCTCCAAACAAAGAGTTTCATTTTTAGAGGTATCTTGGTTTTCCATAAAAGTTTCCACGCAGCCTTCTCTTGATGTATGGCACTTAAGTCCAAAGGGTATGCTTTATTGAAAGCTACCTTGTAGCCTGATTTAACAGTGTACATGCCATGCTCCGTTTCTGTCCAAAGTAGTCTGTCATTCTCCTCTCTCCGTGTTGGATCAATGTGGATTCCCTGGATAAAAGGCAATATCATGGGGGGGGAGGGGAAGATCTTTCTAAGCAGTGATGTCTTCCAGGAGCCATTTGCATTAAGCAGGTTGGCAACTCTTAAATAAGTGTTTGTTGCCAGGATGGAATCACTAGCAATTGGATTGTCCCTTGATGAGATCCAGTTATCACTGATCTTAATGCTGTTTCTCGAAATTACTTTCCACTTGAGCTTCCCCTTTAATAACTCATAGCCCCATAGGATGCTTCGGAATCCCCATGACATGGCAGTGCCTTTCTCTGGGACGATGAAACTTTTTCCCTTGCAATATTTACCTTGAAAGAAACGTGATATGAGGGAATTTGGAGCAGAGAGTATTTTCCAAGCATGCTTAGCAAGTAGTGCTTGATTAAATTCCTCCGTCGATTTGAGTCCTAACCCTCCATGCAATGTCGGTTTACACACCTTATCCCATGATCTGCAAGTTATGCCTCGACTTTCCTTATCACCATACCAGATGAATGCACCTAGGATCTGATTTGCCTTTTTTAGGGTATCCTTGGGCAACTTGGAAACACCCATAGGGTAGACTAGCATTGAAGAGAGCGTCGACTTTGCTAATGTGACTCTCCCTGGCAAAGATAACAACTTAGTCTTCCAGTCCCCCAATTTATTGCTTAGCTTACTTGTGAACTACGCAAAAATGAGTCTCTTCTTTTCCTCAAAATCCAGACTCATCCCTAGATATTTACTGTGGAAATTAGTAGATTGAATGCCCTGTGTTTGATGTAGTAGGTCCTTCTGTTCTTGTGTGGTATTATGACTCAACAGAATCGAGACTTGGAATGGTTAATTTTCTGTCCTGATAGTCTAGCATATTGAGAGATCGCATGAGCCAAAGCTTTGACAGATGATTCTTTGCATTCAAGAAAGAACAAACTGTCATCTGCGTACATCAGATGACTTATTCTTAGAGTAGCTTTCCCGATCTTTATGCCGAGTCCAGGGAGTTTCCTAATTTCCGCTCTTATAGCCGATGATAATGCCTGCTGGCAAAGGATAAACAAGTATGATGAGAGTGGACACCCTTGTCTGAGTCCTCTATTTGGCTGGAAGAAGGCCGAATTTTCTCCATTAAATAAGATTGAGTAGGATACTATAGTGACACAGTGCATGATCAATCGAACTAACCGAGCAGAAAAATCTAATTGATTTAAAACCGCTCTGAGAAAGCTCCAAGATACTCTGTCATATGCTTTACTCATGTCCACCTTAATTGCTGCCACACCTGTTTTGCCTTTCCTTTTTTTGGCGTATTCCACTACTTCATGTGCAATCAGGATATTCTCACTAATATTTCTTCCAGGCACAAAACCATTCTAGTGATCATCTATCAGATCATTCATGACTGCCTTAAATCTTGCTGTGGTCATCTTTGTAATGATCTTGTACTTGACATTACACAGGCTGATTGGTCTGAAATCATTTGGCGTAGTTGGATTTGCTGTTTTTGGGATGAGGACCAAATTGATCTGATTCCATTCCTTTGGGAATTTCTCCTTTTGTGTCACCTCCAAATTGGTCTGACTTTCATTTTCTCAATTAAATAGAGTTGGAATAAGCCAAGGTAGAAACATTGACATGAGAAAACTGATAACAAACATGACTCTTATTTTATGACTAGAAAGATAATTTAACAAGAGTAGAAAACACTACAAATATTCAATTGAAAGAGAAGACCTAGAATGATGAGGAGAGCAAGTCAAGGAAACCAAGAATAACTTGGCTGCCATCCCACAATTAGTCACTTAGTAACATTAATTTGCAAGAATGACAGAGGCAGACAAATTATTCTTGGTTTGCTTAACAAAGGCTCTCAGCTCACCATTTTTAGGCTCTCTTTCGCACAAAATATTGGCCACTGGATGATGTTTGTATGGTTTTGCCAGGTTTCTATTTGTAGACACTGAACATTGTTGGAAGAAGTGGGAGAAACCTAAAGGTAGTTAGTCTTTTGATTTAAGCTTTGCACTTCTCTTGTGATTCGCTCGCTCGTTCATGAAGAATATATTCTTGTGAATTATGTTAAAGTGCCAACTCGGGATTAGTATTGGGACCCTATTTATGTGGTGTATGATCTTCTCGATTGATGCCTGATAATAAACTTTTTCCTTTTTTTTTTGGATAAATATCATTTTTTATTTTTTTTATTTTTTTAAAGAATGTCAACGTAAAAGTGCTCCGGAACTCCCTATCGCTTTGTGTTGTATTGTCGGGTGTTGGCAACTTGCATGGCACGTTTTTCATTCCAGAAATAGAAATAGAAAAGTGATACTCTATTAATCTATAAGCAGAATGATACTAATTGACAAACACTACATCATTCTCATATGGGTTGTCAATTCTATTCTATTTTTTTTTGATTAACCAATATTACCCTAAACTATTCAACCGTTAGCCGATTTTGTCTAATTTACCAATTTCCGTTTAAATTAACGGATTTTCTGTTAGTTTTAATTACAAAAATATCCGAATAGTTTTAAAAATTATAAAAATGACCCTAAAAATTTGTAAAAATAACAAAATAGTCTCTTTTCACTTTTTATTTAATTTTTTTCTGTTTTCTATTTCTTTTTACTATTTTTCATAAATATAAAAATATACTATATGATCTTTTAGAATAAAAATTTATTTTTAAACAACACTGCACAAATTTATAGATATACATATTTGTAATTCATGGTTGATTTACATAAACATATTAATTTTTTTAATACTATGGCTAGAAAATAATGATATTAGTTTTCTAATCCATTTTTTTCAATCTAAAGAATAAGATTTTTTTTTTAACTAAAACTAATTTTTTTACAAAAAAATTAAAAAATTTAGCATAGATTAAAAAATAATCGGCCAAATTTTCTATTTCATGAGAGTAGATATAAGATTAAGTCTCACCAAATGATTTCTAACCGGGAGAGTGATTATATCCATATTTAAGCGGGGTCTACTAAAGGCGAGAGGGTTAGATGGTCAGGTGATTTAGGATGTGAGATAAAATTACTGTATTCGATGTCTCGATTCTCACGGGGTCAATCTAATTTTTCTTTTTTCTTTTTTTTCAAAAAAAAGGTGGAGTCCAGTACTGGAATAGATTTTCTTTATATTATTTGTTCTTAAAAAAAAGACTTTCTGCTAAAGTTAGATATATTAATATCTCAAAAAATTATCGCAAAATGTTAAACCCTCGCAATGATAAATATAAATGTCTTTTTATAAAATATTTTGTACCATTTTTGTAAATGCCATGACACTATATTCTTGTGTTGGGCCAATGTAGAAATGAAATAGGTTTTTTTTTTTTTTTTTTACTTTCTTTTCGTACTTGGCCTTTTACAGAAAAATTTATATTTTAGTTTTAATTATCTTTTAAATTTTATGATACAATCTAAAGTCTGTTGAATTAAATTTTAATACATTCAAGTATACCAATAACTTCTTTTTTAATCTATTCTAAATGTGTTATTTTTTTGTGCAAAATTAGTTATCTTATTCTTTAGATTGAAAAAAATGGATTAAAAAAATAATATCATTAACATTAAACCATATTATTAAAAAGAATAATATGTTTATGTAAATTAAACATGACTTACAAATATCAAATTATAAATTTGTACATTAGAGTTTAAAAATAAATAGTTTTTTTAAAAAAGATTATATAGTATATTTTTATAGTTTTAAAAATATTAAAAAGAAATAAAAAACAAAAAAAATTAAACAAAAACTGAAAAGAGACTGTTTTGTCATTTTTGTAAATTTTTTGGGTCATTTAGAATTTTTAAAATTATTAGGGTATTTTTATAATTAAAATA